GCCCATCAATGGTAGACTGGACAAAGAAAATATGGTACATATATACCATGAAATACTACACAGCCATAAAAAAAAAGAATAAGATCATGTCCTTTGCAGCAACATGGATGCAGTTGGAGGCCATTATTCTAAGCAAACTAACACAGGAACAGAAAACCAAAGGAGCTCAATGGTGAGAACACATGGACACAGAGGGAAACAACACACACTGGGGTCTATTGGAGGGTGGAGGTGGGAGCTGAGAGAGGAATATGACTAATGGTTATTGGGCTTAATACCTGGTTAAGGAAATAATCTATATGACAAACCCCCATGATACAAGTTCACCTATGTAACAAATCTGCACATGTACCCCTGAACTTAAAAGTTAAAACAAAAACAAGAACTGAAATAACAAGATGTTTACCAGCCCTTTAGAAAAGCCAAAATTTTCATTAAAAAAAAAAACAGAACAAAGATCAAGTATCGTAAATCATTTTATACACTACTACTTAGTAACCAAAAATAATATTTAGAAAAAGGTTCTCTGAAATTTTCTATTGAGCAAAAAAAGATATAAACATGAATATATAGGTATCCCTCTGCATCTGTGGAGGACTAATTCCAGGACCTCCTGAGGATACCAAACTCCAGAGATGTTCATGTCCCTGATATAAAACGATGTAGTAATTGCATATAACCTACACACATCCTCTTATATACTTTAAATCATCTCTAGATTACTTATAATACCCAATATAATGTAAATGCTATGCAAATAGTTGTTATACTATATTGTTTAGTGAACAATGACAAGAAAAACATCTATACATGTTCAGTATTGATAAAACTTAAAAAAAAAATTTATGGGCCAGGTGCAGTGGCTCACACCTATAATCACAGCACTTTGGGAGGCCAAGGCAGGCAGATCACCTCAGGTCAGGAGTTCAAGACTAGTCTGGTCAACATGGTGAAACCCCATCCATACTAAAAATACAAAAATTAGCCGGGCATGGTGGTGTATGCCTATAGTCCCAGCTACTCATTACGCTGAGGCAGGAGAATCCCTTGAACCTGGGAGGCAGAGGTTATAGTAATCCAAGATTGCACCACTACACTCCACCCTGGGTGACAAAGCAAGACTCCATCTCAAAGAACACAACAAAATAAAACAAAAATTTTTTATTTCCACAATGTGGAATCCATAGATATAGAGTGCTGACTATGTATTAAAATATTAAGTCATGGGATCTGAGTGAATTTTACTTCCCTCTTTAAATGTCTCTACATTTTCTAAAATGAGTATGTCCTAAAAATTTTACAACTAGAAGCTGAATTTTGAATATGTAATTGTAATATAGTGTTATGAGCATAATAAAGTAGTATGTCCAAAGTGTAAGTGAAGAGTCAACAGAAAGCAAAAGCAATCAACTCTTTCAGTGATGGGGAAACAGAAAAGGTTCCCAGAAAATGTGACATGAGTCAATTTTTAACGGATAAATAGGAGAATTCCTCAGTGTCAGGGGAACAAAACATACAAAGGCAGAAAGGAGTGAAAAACCAGTATGTTGTCTAAGAAGAACCCTGAAGCAGCAGTGGAAACTGGTTTCCAATGACTAGTAAAGGACTTTGAATTTTCATCTATCAGTGAGAAAGCACTACTGACAGGGGGTGAGTGGACACCGCATTTCCAGATGAATATTTATTGCTCACAGACCAGGAGATTCCCAGGTGGAGGAGCCCCACAGGTTGCTAGCGCCACTGTTTGGGACTGTGCAGCTGTTTTACTGGCGCCCCAGCGTGGCGGCTCTCCATACAAAATACACTGGTCTGGTTGCCCTTTTAAGCTGGCAATTGGAGCTCCTGGAAGGCAGATTAGCCCATTCATCTGATTAAACGGGACTGAAACTACCAGCTGACATATACATGATGGTAGCTGTTCACTACTGGCTGTGCTGTTATTTTCCTTCATTTGCAGTAATACTACAGATATTATTGCTATAGTAATTACCATAGCATTTGTGTCAATACTTCCTTTTATGCTTTAATCATGTTATGTTATTCTGACTTTTAATATTTCTTTCCCAATGACCTCTCAATTTTGTAGAACTTGATTTACACATAGAGATTTGCCAATAGCTGAAATTACTAAAGACAGACGTAAATTCTTTGTTAAGTTGTAAAAAGATTTCATGAATGCATTTTAAGGGGCAGAATGGGCAAAGGTGGAATGGGCAAAGGCTGGCTAAAGGAAGCAAAAATGTTATTCCAAATATTTAAGATGCACTTGGGCAAGAGATGAAAAGAATCAGATGGGAACATCAAAGGCAAAGGTGCAGTTGGAAATAAAATAGTGATTTTGATCAAGAATAAAAGATCAACATTTCCAACTATAACTTGGGTAACAGTATAGAAAGTATACTTAATTAAATGTGCACATGTCCTGAAGCTATGGGCTAACTAATACATTAAGACGGTAAAATCAGGATCTTAAAAGGCTGGAGATAAAATTTAACATGGAGTAAACTTAAGGTCTTGCAATTGAATAAAAATACAACTAAAGCACACAGGAAGGAGGAGACATGATTTGACAGTATACCTGAAAAAGACTCAGGAGTTTTAGCTGACAGTAAACTCAAACATATAAATACTATGGCCTTGAAGAAAAGTTATATTGCGACAGAAGACTGCCTAACTGAAAGACGGAGGCAAGAGTCATGTTGTATTCAGAAACCATTAGAACACACCCAGGTGAGTGTATTTACTTAAGAGAGATACTGGCAAATAAGATTTTATTTAGAGAAGAGAGACCATTCCTTAAACATCTTGTTAACTTAGGTGTTCAGGATGGTTCTGAAAACAGCAGTAAGATGAATTACAGGGAAGATGGCCATGTAGGAACAGCTCAGGATTGCAGCTCCCAGTGAAACTGCAGAAGGTGAGTGGATACCGCATTTCCAGATGAATCTTTATTCCTCCCAGACCAGGAGATTCCCAGGTGGAGGAGCCCCACAGGTTGCTAGCGCCACTGTTTGGGACTGTGTGGCTGTTTTACTGGCGCCCCAGCGTGGCGGCTCTCCATACAAAATACACTGGTCTGGTTGCCCTTTTAAGCTGGCAATTGGAGCTCCGGGAAGGCAGATTAGCCCATTCATCTGATTAAATGGGACTGAAACATAGAGCCAGGCCAGGAGATTCCCGGGCAGAAAAAGCACCACGAATCTCAGCGCTGTTGTTCCGGCTGGTGCAGTGGGTCGCTGCAAGGGAAATCACACAGATCCCGGCGTCCTTTCAGCAGGCGACTGAAACACTTGGGAGAGAGTCAGCCATTCAACTTAAAAAAAAAAAAAAAAAAAAAGAGATCTGAGGCAGGAAGTCAGGTGATCAGTCTTGGCAGGTCCCACCCCCACAAAAACAAACAAACAAACAAAAAACAGCAATTGGAAACGCTCAGGGTTAAGAGTTTCATGACAAGCACAGCTGAACCCAGGACAGTCCAGCTCGGTGGGGGAGGTGCGCCCACCATTACCGAGGCACTCCATCCCTATGGAGGTAGTCCACCATTGCTGAGGCAGCCTGCCGTTGCCAAGGCAACCCGCCACTGCCGAGGCAACCTGCAATAACAGAGAGTCCGCCATTAAGGAGGCGGGCCACCACAACCGAGGCAGTTTTAACCACACCCATATAAACAGGACTACAGGGAAGTTCACATGGCAGCAGGGCGGAGCCCACAGCAGCTCAGCAAAGCCTCTGCAGGCAGACAGTGACTAGGCTGCCTCCTTGCTGGGTGGGGCAGCCCTGAAAAAAAAAGGCAGCAGCACAAGGGAAAGTCATAAATAAAGCGCTAACTCCCTGGGACAGAGCACGTGGGGAAAAAAAAGAGGGTTTATGAGTTCTGCTGCAGCAGACTTAAACGTACCTGCCTAGCAGCTCTGAATGAACAATGTAGCTCACAGCTCAGCACTTGAGCTCCTATAAAGGACAGACTATCTCCTCAAGCAGCTCCCTGACCCCTGTATATCCAAAGAGTCACCTCACAAAGGACTGATCAGACTGACATTTGGTGGGCATCATTCTGGGACAAAGATAGCAGAAGAAGAAACTGGTAGCAACCCTTACTGTTCTGCAGCTGCTGCAGGTGATCCCCAGGCAAGCAGGGCCTGGAGTGGACCTCAGCAGTCCTACAGCAGAAGAGCCAGACTGTTAGAAGGAAAACTAAGAAACAGAAATAACTTCATCATCAACAATCTGGATGTCCATGCAGAGATCCAATCTGAAAATCAGCAACTACAAAGACGACAGGTGGATAAATCCACGGAGATGGGAAGAAACCAGTGCAAAAAGGAGGAAAACACCCAAAACCAGAACACCTCGCCTCCTACAAAGGACCAAAACTCCTCACCAGCAAGGGAACAAAGCTGGATGGAGAATGAGTGTGATGAAATGACGGAATCAGACTTCAGAAGGTGGGTAATGAGAAACTTCCGTGAGCTAAAAGAACATGTTCTAACTCAATGCAAAGAAACTAAGAACCTTGAAAAACGATTTGATGAAATGATAACAAGAATGGACAACTTAGAGAGGAATATGAGTGAATTGATGGAGCTGAAAAAGCACGAGAACTTCGCGAAGCATGCACAAGTTTCAACAGTGGAACTGACCAAGGAGAAGAAAGGATATCAGAGGTCGAAGATCAACTCAATGAAATAAAACGAGAAGGCAAGATTAAAGATGAATTACAGGAAGCAGAAACAAAGTAAAAGAGTGACTAAAAAATGAGAATAATCTTGTTCACAGGTTATACAAAACATTTTGAGGATAAACAAATACTGTCAGGTAATAGTTATTTGGTATAGTTTTCTGGTTTTAAAAATGGAGTAAATTATATACATGGCATGAGTAAAATTAGTAATAAATGCCAATTTTTAAAAATACCTTTTTATCTTTTGAATAAGAACACTGTTATCCTTAAAGTGATATATTTTAACTACCTACTTTCCCTGACAATGGCATTATCTTACCCAGTGTGGGAGGAGTATACTTTTTGTTCCCATTTGTTTCCAGAAAATGCAATGTGTCTTGTGTTCATTATAACAACATGATCCCCACAGTCACCTAGATTTAAAAAGAAACAAGATTTTGTATGAAAAATAAAAACCTTAAGAAAAAGTGGCCTCAGTTATTTATAAAGCTTACCACAGTTCAAACAACTATTAAAAAAGAAAAAGCAAGTCACAGTGCAACATCAAAAATCCTTGAATAGATTTCTGTTCCTTTTTAATATAACATCTAAGTACAGAGAGTTGGCTGGCCATTTGGAAAATCTCAACACTGGAAAGTAAAAGAAACTTAGTAAGAGTGCCAATAACCACAATACATCTTTTAAAGGCAAATTACTGTTATTCTTATTACTCTTCCAATTAATAATTACACTTCAGTAAAAATGTTTGTTATTAAGTGCCTTTAAATGTCTGATACAAAATTTCCCTGAAAAAGGGCTGAGAAAATGAAAACAATATGTATATAGATGCAAAAAAGTATGTTTTACAACTTAAATTAAAAACAAACATAAAACATTACAATTGATTATTATTCTTTGCAAATTTAGAGAATAGACTGATATGATCTTATTAACTATTGTGGAAAGGTTTCTTTCTAGCCATGTTTAACAATACTAAATTTAAACTGCTACTCTCAACTATGACTACACAAGCATATCTGACAGGACAGATGCCCTGAAAATCAAAATACGTGTATCTGCATTCATTTTCTATCCCTAAGTTTGGCTGTTCATTTAAAAACAAACTAAAAAGTCAACATGTACATTTTCAAATGACTTACTTACATGACAAAATCAAGTAATCAGAAACATTTATTATTCTACTAGTAGAAAAAAAATCAAGATATTCTAGAATCTCAAAAAAACACTAAAAATAAGAAATACAAGTACAATATATATGAAAACTAAAGATTCTAAGATTCTATGCAGAGCTCTAAATTTGAATGGCAAAATTTCCAGAGACATTCATAGTCTACGTAGGAAAAGAATAAAGAAAAGAAGATAAAGCAAGTGGGTTTTCATCACTAGAGTGAAAGGAAATTCAGAGATATGAATGAAAACTTGCTGTTAGTAGATGGAAAAGAATAGTCTGACAATATTTAATTTTATGATTGAAGTTGCTAAGAGTGACACCCTGTTGGCCTCTGAGGCAGTTGGGCAAATGCCAGAGAGGAGAAAATAAAGAAGGTGAGAAGATAACCAGACAGCCTCAAAAAAAGCTGAGATTACTTTAGCTCACATTCAGACATTTACAGCAGAGAAGGTAAGATGAAGTGATTTGCAAAGGCTCACATACCAAGTTACCTAACACCGGGTGCAGGCTCTTTCCATAACATCTATTTGGAGGAAAAAAATGAATCTTTAAACTTTCCACTAAAATGGAATTTGTTTTTAAATTGTTAAGTTTTAAATATAGGTGAAGCATCTTGAGTCACTCAAAAAATATTTATAGAGAGCAAAAAAGATCTTTTAAGGGGCATTAGACAGAATGCCACAAAGCAACTAAAAATCGTATCCTTTCAGTTCTAAGGCATGCACATCTAATCTGGGAAAAATTATGCCAAATCTCCAATAATTTAATTCCAAGAAGCATTTCTCTACTAACTCTAAACAAAAACTAACCAGCAATTAAATACATTCTCTTTAACAGTTAATCACATTAACACCAAAGTCAGTATTATTCTAAGACTAACCCTGGATATAGCACAACTGTTTCTGTCTAAATTTCTATTAAGTTAAATATATATAGTTTCATTTTATAATTTTCAATTTAAAAATGAACATTTAATATATATGTACCAAATATATCTTAAATATATCTTAGCTCTAGTGCTTGATCAAGACATGTTCTGGAGAGACATTAAGTTGAAAAAAAAGTTTACTAAGCAACTTTTAGAAATAGCAACTGTGAGCTTATTTATAAAAATTCTAACCTTAAATTTCTAACTTTATCTGACTCCTCAGTATAATACTAGGTGCTAAATTAAATGGCCAAATAAATTCAAACTAATTCAGACCAAGTGAAAACTCAACAGCTTCATGTCAGGAAACCTACGGTCTCACTCAGGTAGGTTACAAAATTAGGGGCACCTCTTAGTCCTATACAGCCTCAATATTTTGGTCAGTCTTTTCCCTTAAGCCAGAATTAAGTCATAATTTTTCCTCAATATTGCCTGGGAGAAAAGTAATATCTATTCAATATCTTCTACATGCAAAGCACTGAGCTAGGCTTTTTATATTCATTTTTAACACTCAAAGTCTCACACTGTCTTATTAAGTAAAGCTAACATACTGCCTGCCACCATTTTTACTATTTAATAATATTTAATGAGAAAATAGAGTCAGCGGTTAAACAACTCAGCTATAATGATTATGGCTAGTAAGTGGTAAAGTTAAGTTTCAAATACAACTCTAGTGACTTCAGAGGCAGATCTTATAATTTCTACCACAGCCAGATGGCAAAAAGAAGTGGTAGGTATAATGTTGTAAGGAGGCCATGATATCATTAGCAAATTGATCACGTATTCTTTTTTTTTTTTCTTTTTGAGACAAAGTCTCATTCTGTTGACAGGCTGGAGTGCAGTGGTGCAATCTCGTATCACTGCAACCTCCGCCTCCCGGGTTCATGCAATTCTCCTGCCTCAGCCTCCTGAGTGGCTGGGACTACAGGGGTGTGCCACCACGTCCCAGTAATTTTTGTGTTTTTAGTAGAGACAGAGTTTCACCACGTTGGCCAGCATGGTCTCAATTTCTTGACATTGTGATCCCCCCGCCTTCGCCTCCTAAAGTGTTGGAATTACAGGCATGAACCATCGCACCCAGCTGATCATGTATTCTTTTCTGCTAAATTCTAAGATCTCAGAAGTCTTTCTCAGCAAACTGCTCACAGGTTACAGTTATTTGCCATCTTTGTACTTCCCCATGTACCAACTCCCCGGTTAGAGATTCAAGGAGACCTAGAGTATAGGATAACATTTTGTAGCCTTATTTACTAATTTTTCCAACACCACTGTCTAGACCAAGTAAGCCATGCTATTTAGGTTGGTGCAAAATAATTGCGGACTTTGCCACTGAAATGGCAAACTCTACGTTGTTTAGTATTTGTATAATTTTAGTGGTCCAAGCACCCTGCTGCAGACTCCTAATTATAGATCCTTCATATAGAGTTACCAAAGTAAGTGCTTAAAAAATGCCCTAGTTAGAAATTTAAGGTTAACTTCAGATAAAGTTAGAAATTTAAGGTTAGAATTTTTATAAATAAGCTCACAGTTGCTATTTCTAAAAATTGCTTAGTAAACTTTTTTTTCAACTTAATATCTTTCCAGAACATGTCTTGATCAAGCACTAGAGCTAAGATATATTTACATTTGGTACATATATATTAAATGTTCATTTTTAAATTGAAAATTATAAAAAATTATAACTATGTTTGAGATATTCAGATTCCATGCAAGGGCAGATTCAGATAGAAACACCAGTTCAGCTTGGTGGGAGTCTCCAGCTCTTCCAAATTTGCTTTATAATCCTCTTCCATTGATGAATAAATCCACTTGCTATGTATTACATACTTACTAATGCCAGGTACCATTCTTGATGCTGGGAATATAGCAATGAATGTAACTGAAAAACCTCTCTTATTTTTTTAAACTTTTATTTGAGATTCAGGGGTAATGTACAGGTTTGTTATATAGGTAAATTGCATGTCATGGGGGTTTAATATACAGATTATTTTGTCACCCAGGCAATAAGCATAGTACCTGATAGGTAGTTTTCCTGATCCTCACCCTCCTCCCACCCTGCACCCTCAAGTAGCTGTCTGTTGTTCCCTTCATGCCCATGAGTACCCAATGTTTAACTCCCACTTATAAGTGAGAACATGCAGTATTTGGTTTTCTGTTCCTGTGTCAGTTTACTTAGGATAGTGGCCTCTACCTCCATCCATGTTGCTGCAAAGAACATGTTCTCATTTTTTAATGGCTGCATAGTATTCCATGGTGTATATGTACCACATTTTCTTTATCCAGTCTCCTACTGATGGGCACTTAGGTTGATGCCTATCTGTGTTATTATGAATAGTGCTAAAATGAACATATGTGCATGCTTTAAGTTCTTTCAGAAAGCACCAAATTGCTTTCCAGAATGGCTGAACTCATTTGCACTCCCACTAGCAGTGCATAAGCATGTATTTTCTCCTCAGCCTTGCCAAAATCTGTTAGTTTTTGACCTTTTAATGATAGCCATCCTGACTGGTGTGAGATGATATCTCATTGTGGTTCTGATTTACTTTTCTCTAATGATTAGTTTAGGCATTTTTTTCACATGCTGTTGACTGCATGTATAACTTCTTTTGAAAAATGTCTCTTTATGTATGACCTTTGCCTACTATATAATGGGGTTGTTTTTTGCTTCTAAATTTATTTAGAGAAATTCTTGTTTTTAATAAATCTTATACTCTAGTGAAAAGGCCAGATAATAAACAAACAAATGGATATGCAATATGCCAGGAGCTGATGAATATGGGAAGATAAAGAATAAAAAGGTGGAGGATTACTAATTGGTACAGGTTTTTCATAAACTTAAGTTTTCACTTCTCTGGGATAATATCCAAGAGAAAACTGCTGTGCTCTATAGTATGCTCATATCTAGTTTTAGAAGAAACTGCCATATTCTATTCCAGAGTTGCTGTACCATGCTACATTTCTACCAGCAAGGCATGAATAATCCAGTTTCCATGCACCCTCATCAGCATTTGTTGTCACTATTTTTTATTTTAGCTATTTTGATAATTGTGTAGTATTATCTCGCTGTGGGTTTTATTTGCACTTCCCTAATGGCCACTTAAATTGAACATCTTTCATGTGTTTACCATCTGTTCACGTATTCTGCGCATAGTCTAATTAGATTGTTTGTTTTTTTTACTGTTGAGTTTTGAAAGTTCTTTATACATTTTAGATACGTCCTTTGTTGATGATGTGGTTTGCAAATATTTTCTTTCAGTCTATAGCTTGTTTTTTCCCCTTTATAGGGTTGAATGTTTCCTTATAAGCTGTTTGCT